TTCCAGATGCGGAAACAGATTTTCTCCAGGTTATATGAACTAATGGGAGAGTTCAAAATTTTGTGTGAGCAGAACTATTTGTTCTATTAAAGCCACATTTTTCTGGGGTTTATAGCTGTACAGCTCCATTCCCGAATCATGCAAGGTTACAGTAACCTTGCAAAAGTTTTGTTTTTTTAATCTTTATCTTGATAGTGGTATAAAACACAACATTATCTCTCAAAATGTCAATTTTCCTCTCTTCTCCCCCCCCCCACATATATATTTATGTATATGTATGTGAGTATGTGTATTAAACCCACATACTGAATGTGTTACCTCTCCTCCTTGATGATTTACATTTTCCTCAAACGTGCTTAGGCTGGATATCTTAAAATTTCATGAGTAAGGATAATTACATTTCCAAAATAAAGCCACCTTGTTAGATTAAAAATATCTTACCCTCGCTTTGAAAGATCAGTCATTTAAAAGGAGTCTACTTAGTTTTGTCTTATTTAAAATACGTTGTAAGAATACCAAAATCCATAAAAATGGAGCGTATATAATGAATCGTGCCATATGAAATGATACTTCATACATTCCGAAAGTTTAGAGCCCATTCCTTTAGTTTAGTGGGGTGAATCAAGGAGCTAATTTTACAATTCTAACATTAGCATCCTTATATGGTTAAAAAAAATTTTTTAATCCCCCCCAAGTACCAGTGTACTTATCTCAACTTATTTTTATATATAATTTTTATTTTTATTAATTAAGTAAAAAGCAGCAGGAAGAATAAAAGAATTACAGAAAAAAGGGAAAGGAATAGGATAGATTAGATACATATAATTACATACATTGCAGTATAATCCCTAACTTACTTATGTAGTTATTTATCCTTTTTTACATTAATGTTATTACTATTGTTGTTGCATAAGCTTTATACTGAAGGGAGGGTTGAAGTGAGAATTCAGAAGGTGAGATTTAATACTATACGGTGATTTAATTTTATTTTTAAAAAACAAAAATTATGTCTATAAGAAAAAACATTCAAGCAGCCCCCTGCTTTTTTTGTCGTCGTTGTTCTTCCAAACATTTATTAATAAGTTGAATTTTTAGTGCTTGCTAAAAGTTCATTTGTACAAATACCAAAGAGAAAGTTCATCGGTCTATATTACGATGTATTTTCCATGTTTTATTTACTGGATGCAACAAGTTGAGATGAGAGATGAGAGATGAGAGAGAGAGAGAGAGAGAGAGAGAGAGAGATAGATAGATAGATAGATAGATAGATAGATAGATAGATAAGATAAATGTTAGAGATGATACATAGAGACAGAGATGGATGGATGAAGATGATAGAGATAGGAAAGAGAGAGATAATAGAGAGTAAAGGCAACTTGGCAGTATAAAGAATTCATTAATCATGGGATTCCTCTCAAAACTGATATTTTAGTCCAATACAATTTTATTGCATAAACTGCATACTATTTCCTAACTTCCTTAACTCTATTTTCTGAGGATGTGGGGACACTAACAAATGGTGGGCTGTTACCTTCTATTTTTGTTTTTCTCTACCACAACAACACACAAAAGTAGAAATCAAGTTGGGGTCTGATTCCCAGGGACTAGGGGTGTTAGCAACTGGGGCAGGATGAAAGAAACAGCAGCTCTCTAACGTTTGGGAGTCCCTGAAACCTTTCACTGAATGTTTGTGGGAGATGGAAGGTTGTTGCAAAAGAGTTCAGTAGATGGCAATGAATTTTATCTGCGTAGAAAGACTGGAAAATAGGGTGGGACTTCCCCTGCCTCAGTTTATATAAAGTGCTCATAATCATTCCACTTTCAGTTGATTGCAATAAAACAATGCCCCCATAAGGTTAAAAGGCCCAAGTATTGTTTGGATAATTTTTTTTCTTTCAGCAGAGCAGAACACATTGCCTTCAATTAATCAATCAAGAGGGAAAGGAGGCCACTGTGACCTACTTAGCTATTGCGTCAAAAAATGGTGTTTCTATATGTAAATTCTGGTTAGCTGTATCTCCATATGAATGAATACAGTACCTTGAAAGAGAGTGTTATTACAACATCTTGGCCTAGAAAGAGATTTGCTATAAAAGAAACAAATTGTCTGAATACTGTCTTCTCACAGGTATAATTCCTATCATTTCTCTGCCCTGGGGCTGCCAGGATAATTTGTTGCCTGATGCAAAAGAGCAAATGGAATAACCATCCAATAATTGCTTCATTCTCCCACAGTTGGTTTGCAAATTTCCAGTTGCCCACTAGGAGGCAGCAGAGAGAGGCAAAACATCTACCAATTTGCTGCCATCTAGTGGTCATCAAGGACCACGGTCCTTTACAGTGGTTTACACTTCCTCCTCTCCTATTTAACATCTACATGAAACCACTGGGTGAGGTCATCTATTGGCACAGAGTCAGGCATCATCAGTGTATTGATGATACTCAGCTTTGTATCTCAACTGCAGACTGAAAGGAGATGCAGTCAAACCTTGGCCCAGTGTCTAGAAGCCATTAGGATCTGGATGGAGATCAACAGGGTTAGGGTCAAGCAAGTAAGGCTGAGCAGTTTTGGATTCTGATTTTGTAGTGCAAGGAAGATGACCTTGACAGAAATAAGCCAGATCTGTTAGCAAACTGACAAGGGAAAAACATGACTTAAGTCCAAAACAAGAAGAAGCCATGTGCAAATGACTCAGGTGGACAACTCCTTAATTCACATGAGGGGGGGGGGGAATAAAGCACAGTCAGAATTGTAAGATTCTGTGACAATAGCCAATATTAGTAAAAGTAGTTTAAGCCTTCTTGTAGAATGGATTTCTTGGTTGGGTCTATATAGTGTGCCTGATGAGTTTGGATTTGCTTCTGATTCCAGAGAATAACCATCTTGAATTTTGGATGTGGTTGTGCTTCCCTAGACAGAATCACTTCATAATCTGGGGGGGTCTAGGAGGTCCTGCCTAGCTTGTGCATCAGTAACCTTCCATGGAGCAGAAGGCTCTGCTCACTTTCATTCATGCCTTGGTCATCTCTTATTTGGATTACTGCAATCCACTCTACATGGGGCTGTCCTTGAAGATCACCTGGAAGCTTCAGCTGCTCCACATTGCAGCAGCTGAAGCAGTTATGGGCATTAACTGGTTGTTATGCTTCTGGATGCAATTCAAGTGAGGGTTGCTCCCTTTAAAGCCATCCATGGCTTAGGGCCTGGCTGTCTTCAGAATTGTTGCTTGCAGGGTTTCTGCCTTCCATTCTCATTCATATGCAAGGTCCACAGAGGAGAGTCTTCTCAGTTGCTGCTGCCCCATCTCTGGAACCGTATTCCCTCAGCTCTAGATACCTGGCTCTTTCTGCATGCCTTTAGGGCTTGATAATACACATAGGAACATGTCTATCTGTGAATTGTTGTTAAGAGTACTTGGGGTCTTTGGGATTGCATTCTTATGCATCATCTTTAATCCGAGTGCCTTATGGGATACAGACGCTTCAACTCCTGCAACCGAGGCTTCCAACAAGCCCAGCAAATAAATAAAGCATCCAGCACACAGGCATTGCGAAAGAGCATTGAGGGGAGGGGGCTTGGCTTTGACTGCAAGGCGGCCTCATGGTCTTTGGAAAGGTCAGGAACTCCATTGCCCAGAATTCCCACTCAACAAAACAGCCATCTTGGCTCAACGTGCCTGGGAACCACCAGGTTGGAGAAGGTTCCTCTAGCCAAAGTGGGTAGGCCGAAGCTTGTGTGGCAGTTCCTGTGCTTTATGGTTGCCACGGCTTTGCTGTTGTCTCCTAGCAACTGGAACAAATGGTTGACTCAAACATCCTGTTGCTGGGAGACCAGCATCCTTAGCTCTGCCCTGTCCTTTTTAGCAGAGGGAACCAGACTCTTGATCAGCCCTGCAAGAGCTTCCCCTGACTCCGGGTAACATGTATCCTGCCCCTTGGTGAGCAAATAAGAGTGAGCTGATTGAGTGTGCAAGTGGTGAGGAAGGGACAGCTGTTTGTACCGAGTATCGCAGTCAGTTGAGGACTTATTTTAAATCAACTTATTAATGCTCAGTTCCATGAGATTATTGTGTGTCTTGGGGAGATGGGCCATTTCCACACAACACAATCTGTAGCTAACTTCACCCTGGTTTACTCAGCAGCGCCATTTGCTTGTATTCCCACAACATGGCACACCATAAATTAACCATACTGCCGGCATTCACACAATATATTACAATACAATCTAGTCCACCAAATTTTAGCACAGCATATGGAGTCTTTGGGTTATGAAGTCACAAGATTGGGCCTCCTCTTACCTGCTCATAAACAAGAAGTACAGATTGTTTCTTCCCACACAACTAGGGCAATTTTTTTTAAAAAAGTATTTAATCTTTGCAGAGGTCCTAATGTTGCTTTTTCAGTCGTTTACAACTGTGGAGAAAGAATGTTCAGAACAAAACAGTTGCATAATTTATTTTGCAAATTATGTAGCATCACTCAATAATGTAACCTTATTAATGAAAGTAAGGCTGGGTTAGATGACATCACAACTTCCCAGTTCAATGAACCAGAGGATTCACATACTGTAACTCAATTTTCTGGGCTCACACAGTACAATGACTTGTCAACTACAGAGTTCTCACAACATGCTGAACTAAAATGTGACTGATTCGTCTTTGGTTTAGTGTCTTTTAGACAAATGTGTATTATTCTTTAAAGTTCAAAGTAAATCATTTTAGGTGTCTAATGTCTCAACTGATGTTTTATATCAGCAAAAATATAGTTTTTGATCCTTCAGTTGACCCAAAGCAATATATTGTTCTGAATGCCGTGCATGGAAGTACTGTTTGTTTAGCAGTTTAGGAACTGTTATGACCTTGGAATCTGACTCAATCTCAGTTAAAGCTGCCTTCAAAACAATGACTTAAATTAGAGTGTTTAAACATGTTTATTTGAATAAACCATGATTAACTGGGTTGACACTAAAGCCTCCACTGTAACCAAGCTAACCTGTTTGACAATGCAATGTGTCAAACACACTTATTATGGAAACAGATTTGAATATATATCTGGGGTGTGAGGTGTGGAAATCTGTGACAAACCTCCAAACTAGACATGTGATTTTGCAAAGGAAAATAACATTTGTCTGGTAGGATGGCAAGAAAATGATTCCTGATTTTTTTGCTGCAGGGGAGAAGTAGAAGCAAGTGAAATTATCTTGGGAAGCTATTTCCTATAATGTAGATCTTATGTCACAAAGTAAAAGCCTCATATCCTTGGATTAACCACATTTGTGAAACTCACAAGTCGTAAATGCAAGGATTGGTTGCAAAGTTATTTTTTCATCACCATCGTAACTGCAAACGGTTGCTAAATGAGGCAGTCGCTAAACAAGGACTATCTGTACATACTTTGGCAGAACACAAACAAACAAAAAATGTTGATAAAGTGAATATTGTAAAGCAAGCTAGTAAATTCCCAGCTCATTTTAGAACTATTTAGGCAAGATGCATTTGCTTAAGTGCTGGCCATAACTCTTTCCATCCAGGTATAAGAAAAAATTACCTTCCAAGTGCTTTCAAGAACGAGTCACTAACAAAGAGAGATTCTCCGATGCTCTCAACAGCCAGCGATGGAGATTCCTGAAAAGCGGTCTGGATGATTTCAGAAATGGGTGCCCTCCACCTTCGGACAACATAGTAATTCAAGGCACAAAAGGGCCTGTCCCCATAATCCTACATTATAAGAAAATTGATGCTTCACAGATTGTACCTTACGAATCCAGAGACTTGCTGAGTAAAAGCAGAATCATTTACTCCAAACTCACTACAACTCAGAAAGCCAAGAAGGACTACATTGCCCAGACTGAGCACTGCCTGATGCAACACCCCCTGGCACTTTATCCTCATCTGGAAGAGAGCGTGCCTCCAGAGGTAAAATGAATCTCTCCTTTGCCATCAGGGCATATTCAATCATATTTACCCTTTGGAGATTCAAGTTCCTTGGCCTTTCCACTCGTATAACTCACATTGGACCAAATACAGCCCAAAAAAGCAGGACAGTTTCTTGGTGTGGGTCCTACAAACAAAAACATTAGTTTGCTTCACGCTGTAATACTTTTCCTTCGTTTTTATTTTCTACTCTGCAAATGCTGAGCTTGATATCTTCTGAAGCTTTTGCTTGCAGTACTTATATATGAACTATCTGGCACCTCCAATTTGCTCCCAAGTTCTACAAGATCTATTAGAAGTCCAACAACAGAGATGGGTAGAACACCATGGTTCAGCTGCTTTTAAATGAATTAGCCCTACAGGAAGTTACACCTTTAAAGTGTTTGTCTTTAAGGGTGAGCATGCTCCCAGGTTTCTTTTAACTAACCTGCATTTCATTTGGTGTACATAAGGATGCTTTTGTACACATATCAACAGTCGTGCGTAAAATTAAGGGACAAATAGAACAGAAACTTCTCAAAGGCATGATCTGAAGACATTTAATCTTGTTACTTCCCCCGTGTTAAGCAGGTTTGGACCTGGTCAGTGATACCTAAATGAGAACTGGTGCCTGCTGCTCTAATTCCATGGTAAAAGTCAGGAGTGACTGTGAGGGGTGTCAAAAAAAGTCAAGATGGCCATCGTGAAAATGTGACTGAAGCCCTGCCCTTTTTTATATGCATCACACAGACTTTGGTCACTTGGTGGTGGCCACCATCTTGATGTTTTTTAAGCAATCCAGGTTATTGATTTTTTTTAATGAATTATGATTAACAAACATTATCAAGTAACTAAATTAACATAAATCCAAGATGCACAGAGGGAAAAAAATATATAGAACCAATCCTGGTTAAAGTACTCCATTCTTCTACCAACTTGTTAAATTCCCTTTATGTGATTCACAGTTGTCTGTTGCTATCTAGTATTTCATTACAAAGTTGTTTTGAGTACTATAGTCAGGTAGCTCCAAAGATGATCTTCTAGGAAATTCCTTATTAATTTATTTGGGATTTTTTAGTATTAATACTACCAGAGAATCTTCCCTGAAAGACAACTCAATATACACATTCTTTCCTGTATACTTTTTCATATAGAATATTAATTTATAAGTGAATGAATAATTAATAATTGCAGTTGCAACATTTTGTTGTGTTCAGCTAAGCAGGAGATTTGTGGGCTTAGCTAAAGTTTTCAACCTGTTTTGGGTACAATTACATGAAAGTCAGCTGGGTGACTTTGGGCCAGTCACTCTCTCTCAGCCCAATTCGCCTCACAGGGTTGATGTTGTGGGGAAAACAGGAGGAGGAAGGAATATTATGCATGTTCACAGCCTTGAGTTACTTATAAAAATAATAAAGATGGATAAAAAATCTAAAAAAAAATCCCCTGGCTTGGTAGACCTTATTAGTTCCCATAAACTGGACAGTCTGGTCCACAGGAATAATTTAGTAGTGGGGTAAACTTGACGTCCGTCCTAAATACCTCTTCCAACTTTAGGCTTCTATGACTTCTGGACTGGTTCTCATACAATTCAAAGTGTTGATACTTTTCTTTAAAGATAAGATCTTTAGATCCTCAGTACCCAAATTAATGTCAGCATCTTCTTCAGATACTGCCCTGTTGCTGTTGGTGACCAGAAAATGCACCTTCTCTGTGGCAGTTCCCTAGCCATCCAAGAAGGAAATCAGAATTCTTTGATTGGTGCCAAACATATATATTTTTATTCCCCTAGAATAAAATATTCCCCTGGAATAAATTATTCTTAATTTGTTTAATTCATTTCTAATATGCTGTTTATGTTTTGTCTGTGATTATAATTTTACACATATAAAATGCCGTGCACGCTTTGCTAAAACGTTCATTAGCTAAATAGGCACAGATGGGAGTCCTTAGCTTAGTCTCAGGCCCAGTTGTTCAATATCCTTAGCCAGATCCCTGAAAGTAATAAATCTTATGTATTTGTGACTAGAAGAAAGGATGTGTGATGGCAGGAGCAGCCATCATTTTCCTCCCTAGCACCTAGACTGGATTATTGTAACTAGCCATTTAACAAAAGGGCTTGGCCTAGGAGGTTGGTGTTGAGGAGAAGAGAAGAGTTGGTGCAGAAGGACAGAGAAGAGGCCCAAAGAAAAAGATGTAAATGATTGGAGAAGCTTAAACATTTTGGGAATTCCAAAAAAACTGCAGGAAACACTCAAACAGGAGGTGCAGAATGTATTAAAACTAGGTGCCACTGATCCATCTCAAATAGAATGGAATTCACCTGTTGTCCTTTTATCCAAGTCCAATGGAGAAGTACATTTTTGTGTGGGTTTTAAATGGCTGAATTACATTACAAAGTCCAACTGTTACTTCATGTCCAAGATTGATTACCCCTTGGACAATCTAAGAAAAACATAATATTTACCTTTCCTTGATCTAAAAAAGGGCTGTTGGCAAATTCCTTTGGATGAAAAGTTCAAAGAAAAATCAGGCTTGGCAGCACTTCAAATACTTTTCTAATTTGCAGAGCTACAATTTGGACTGGACTCCTGCCACCTTCCCAAGTGTGATAGATCAAATTCTCCAGTGAGCACAATATTGTGAAGCTTACCTAGATTATATTATGATGTATGGCACAACATGGGAAGAACTTTTGTAAAACTTAGAAAAGGTAGTGCTGAGCCTTCCAGAAGCAGTTAACCATCAGTTCAACAAAAAGTCATCTAGAACTGAAATATCTGGCCTTTAATGTTAGTAACCAAAAAGTGGAAGTCATATAGATGGTAGTCTCCCCAGATGAAAAAAAAAAAAGACCTGTGTTCATTTTGGGGGACTATAAGTTACTACAGTTGCTTCATCCCACCATTCTCTAGCACAGCTCAAGTGCTTGCTGATTTAACAAAAAGGCTGAATCCAAAAAAATTCACTGTCTGCAGATTGTGCAAGAAGCATTTTGCACAAAAAGCTTTTGATGATTGAAAACACATGCTTTGCTCTAACCCCTTACTGAAAGGAGTAAACTTTACTCCTCCTTTTGTTCTGCATGTAGACTCACCTGATAATAATGAAAGAGGAATGGTATTGCTACATAAGCTTTAAGATCCAGAACATCCAATTTTGTACTTGTCCAGGAAAATGCCTAGGTAGAGAAAGGAAATACCATACCATTGAAAGGGACATATTTGCCCACAAACAAACTCAGTATATTTTGGGGGCAGGGAAGTCACTTATCTGTACTGATCACCTCTCAGACCTTCAGTAGCTGGAGTAGCTTCAGTAAAGTTGGAAGTGCAGTGTTGTCCAAACTTGGCCACTTTAAGATGAGTGGACTTCAACTCCCAGAATTCCCCAGCATGGCTGGCTGGGGAATTCTAGGAGTTGAAGTCCACTCACCTTAAAGTGGCTAAGTTTGGACAACACTGACCTAGTGTAAAGTATTTTTTCCCAAGCACCAACCTTGCTAGAGTTATCTCTAGCAAGATCCATCAAGATGAAAGCAATAATAATAATACAAGAATTCCAGAAAGTAAGCTACTTTCAATGTAGAACCAATATATCTCTGTGTACCTTGAGGGTTGGGGCTTTCTGATTTTTTTTCTCACAGACTAATAGCACTTTGGAGAGGAGACAAGTTTCCTCTCTGATAAAGGGGGAGCCTGCAGCTGTAGGTTATTTATACAACAGTTGCCTGAATTCTTATCAGTCTGAAAACCAACTCTTAGATCACCTACTTCTTTTGTGACTAAGGGAAATGAAGGACACTAATAGATGCCTTACCTGGTGGGATCTGATTTTTACAGCCTTACAAATTCACCACGCCTTCCAACGTCGACCAGACAAACAAAATTATATTGCAGATTTCCTCTTAAAATTTGGGGGGGGAACCCACAAAAATCACTCTGTGCAAAGACAACATCACCAGACTAAATAATTAGCTCTAGATTTTGCCTCGACCCTTACCTTAAGGGGTGGGAGGTGGTATATGGAAAGGACAACCTTCACGGTCTCTGCAATTAAGGATCAGCAAAGCCAGGCTTTTAAAAAGGGATTTGGCTGGACCAGTAAGGTAGTGTTGGGAAGAACAGAAGAGCAAAGAGTTGAAGAACAGAGAAGACTGAAGAAAGAAGAAGAGCTGAAGCCCTGAAAGGGCTGCGGGAAGGAAGACCCTGCAACGTTGGCATTGTGGAGGATGGGATGTGGCGCTGGCAGTGGAAGACTTGGCCACCACAGCAGCATCGTCAATGGGGAGAGGCAGATCAGCAATAGAAGTCTTACCAGTCAGGAGGCCTGTCCGATAGCAGCAGGGCTTCAGGGCCTTGGAAGTTTTAGCCAGCCCCAGCCCCAGCCCCACAAAAGCCTGTGGCCAGCCAGCAACTAGTAGCAGCCCAACAGGGGCTGGTGCCAGAGCAAGAGGGCTTTGGAGGCTGGCAGATTTGAAACCCAGAGCACTGGCAAGCTTTGAGAAGCCAAAGCCCAGACCACTGAGCCCTGGCTGAAGTGAGGTACCCGGAGAGAAGGCTCAAGGAACCAGGTTACACTGAAGACATGGCTTGCAGCACAGACTAAGCCCAACCCAGTACCAGTCAGACCATGCAAGTGACCCTGGGAGCAAGGTGGACTAGAGAGGGGTCAGGCCTAAAGGGCTGGGGTAGAAAGCTAAACTAAGGAAAGCTGAAAAGCAAAACTGGGGTGGGGGGGAGGGAGGGAAGCAGGATATAGAATTATTGCTGGTATACTGTAATATAGAGTAGGGTTGGCTGATAGACTTTATGAGAAGACATTGCAATATAGGTTAGGTGATAGATAAAACAAGAAAATAGAGATTAAAAGGATAAGGCTTAAACAATAGGTAAGAAATCAGGCAAGAAAAGGAATAGAGACTGTCAGATTTAAAACTTAACTACTCCTGGAAAACAGAGACCCCTAAACTTCCGACCAAGCTCTTTATTTCATTGGGTTTTAGTAATTCAGTGTCTTTGCCTCTGTCTGATACTATCTCCTAATGGAACCCGCAACAACAATGTGGAATTCTTTGTGTTGGCCATCTGACTTTGCTCTTTGGTAGACCCTGCTGTGTTTTTTTTCTTACCTGAAATTTGAGATTGTTCAGACAGGAGAAACATGTTGCATCTTGCTGTACCCTCAGCTTTTTCATGATGTTGTGAAGCTCCTGGACCCTGAGATGCATCTGACTAGAACATCACCTGATTATAGTAAAACTGATGTGACTATCCCTCCCACTGGTCAATATCATCTGAAGTATGAAGTGAACCCAAATATTAGCTACAGCGCCACCCTCCCGTGAGTACTGACATAAGTAAATGCATAAGGTGTCCCAATTCCCATGTTGTAGCCAAGTGATATGCAGTGCTTGTTCCTTGCAATGGGCTGAGGTGAGAAGGAACATGGAGCTGGACTCTTGTGGCATGAACTTCTGGACTGTACCCTTCTCATATGATCAGAGTGTGCCTCAATGTTCATATTTGATTCTATTAATGCAGGATTTAATCTGTGGAGAGAGGGAAGATATATCTCAGCAGAATAGCCTTGCTATTAAAATGACACTGCTGCTTCTGATGCACCCTCTGAATAAAATCACCCTCATCTGTCCAGTCTAGTCTGCAACACAAAACTGCTAAACCCTCTTTAACCTGGAAAACTTTCACCCAGGAATTCCCCACAAGCGTGGCTACGTTGGTTCATCTCAAGCCTGGCCATGGCTGCTGAGATTCCCACCATGCCAGATTTTATTATTTACCTATGATATCTCAGTTGTTTAATTGGTAGCGATCCAGTTAGTGTAGTGATCCCACAGGCAAGTGAACTGTGCCCAGTCTATTTCCTGAAACAAAACCAGAATCAAATAAATAGAAGAAACTTAGAATGAGGTGTATAAAAAGATTGATGGAGGCAACAGGAAAGACAACAATGTCTTTCTTCACTGAAATCTACAATACATCTACACTGTTTCATCCGGCATATCCACCCATTTCTAACCACGATAACACCAAAATGATAAACTCTGCATTGTGACTTCACAATATAAGCATCACCCTTTCACACTTACGTTGCATCCTCATAACTCAAGGAAGTATTGGGTGGAGTTACATTGTGATGTTACAATGTACATTTCATCAATTACCAATCATCCCCTTTCCTGCAGACTCTTATGTCCTCAGCGTCTTATTTTTTGTGGTTTCTTGTGCCAGGGGCTGTCAGTACGGACCCAACTGATTAACCAATTAGGACATCAATGAGATGTGCCACAGCATGTGATTGTGTCTGCATGACATTGCATTAGTTCAGCAAGGAGTGGGCGGCACTAAGGATTAATAGAGGAAAGAGCATAGACAGAATACTACAAAAAGAAACTTTCCTACAGATACTTAGCTTTTTAGTAGACCAGTAATCAAGAAAATGCTTTTCCTATGATGCAAATATGCTGAATCAGTCATCAGTTGGATTCTCTGTGAGTGCCTTTCTTGCAGTAATTAGTAATTAAACTAAAGAAATCAAAGAACAGAGCACAGCAGAATCCAGGAGGCCCAAGATGAAGCAAGTGTCAGTTTTCAGTATTCATAGAATTAGATAGTGTCCCACATACAATAAATGGGAAGACAGAACAATAGAATACTTCGAAAGAAAGATGGAAGATCAAGGGGGAAAATACAGAAGTTAAAGGTGGAACCAATTCATGGCCTCATTTTCAATATTCATTTGCTAAACATAGGAAGACAGTGAAACACGTGATATAGTACAAAGAATTGCTCATATTTTCCAATATTCTAGCCCACCAGGTTGCTGGGCATGTGGAGAAACGGGTACAAGGTCAGATACATATGCAGCTGACTTGTGGAAAGATGAACCCTTTCCGGAAGATGGTATTTGCATAAAATTACTAGTCAAGAGGTCAAACGCCTTTATGAGCACTGTTAAATCATCTTCAGGGTTAAAATTAGCAGTTGCCTGATATAATCTTAATAAGACATCTATTATTGGCAGCAAAACAAACTAATACAAAACCTGGAAGGATCTGAAAAGATTGTCAGATACATGTTGGCCTCACAGATAGGACAATAACAAAAAGGAAATTTCTTTACAGAGGAAAAGTAAAATCCCTCCTGGCCTTTCGGAGGGACTTGAAGACCTGGCTCTGCCATCTGGCCTGGGGCGAGGAGGGGGATCATCAAGTGTGGGGTTGGCTAGTCCCTTAGTGGCCTGGCATTGCTGCTTTGAACCATTGCCCTCCTGGATTTTTTCCCTTTTATTTTTGTGAATGTGTATTGTTATC